GAACTCACGTAACTCAACACGCATCACAGAACTCATGTAACTCAACACGCATCACAGAACTCATGTAACTCAACACGCATCACAGAACTCACGTAACTCAACACGCATCACAGAACTCACGTAACTCAACACGCATCACAGAACTCACGTAGCTCAACACGCATCACAGAACTCACGTAACTCAACACGCATCACAGAACTCATGTAACTCAACACACACCACAGAACTCACGTAGCTCAACACGCATCACAGAACTCACGTAACTCAACACGCATCACAGAACTCACGTAACTCAACACACATCACAGAACTCACGTAACTCAACACACATTACAGAACTCACGTAACTCAACACGCATCACATAACTCACGTAACTCAACACGCATCACAGAACTCACGTAACTCAACACGCATCACAGAACTCACGTAACTCAACACCCATCACAGAACTCTTGTAACTCAACACGCATCACATAACTCACGTAACTCAACACGCATCACAGAACTCACGCTCAACACACATCACAGAACTCATGTAACTCAACACGCATCACAGAACTCATGTAACTCAACACGCATCACAGAACTCACGTAACTCAACACTCATCACAGAACTCACGTAACTCAACACTCATCACAGAACTCACGTAACTCAACACTCATCACAGAACTCACGTAACTCAACACTCATCACAGAACTCCCGTAACTCATCACAGAACTCACGTAACTCAACACACATCACAGAACTCACGTAACTCAACACTCATCACAGAACTCACGTAACTCAACATGCATCACAGAACTCGCGTAACTCAACACGCATCACAGAACTCACGTAACTCAACACACATCACAGAACTCGCGTAACTCAACACACATCACAGAACTCACGTAACTCAACACACATCACAGAACTCACGTAACTCAACACACATTACAGAACTCACGTAACTCAACACGCATCACATAACTCACGTAACTCAACACGCATCACAGAACTCACGTAACTCAACACACATCACAGAACTCACGTAACTCAACACGCATCACATAACTCACGTAACTCAACACGCATCACAGAACTCACGTAACTCAACACACATCACAGAACTCACGTAACTCAACACACATTACAGAACTCACGTAACTCAACACGCATCACATAACTCGTGTAACTCAACACGCATCACAGAACTCACGTAACTCAACACGCATCACAGAACTCACGTAACTCAACACGCATCACAGAACTCACGTAACTCAACACGCATCACAGAACTCACGTAACTCAACACGCATCACATAACTCACGTAACTCAACACACATCACAGAACTCACGTAACTCAACACACATCACAGAACTCACGTAACTCAACACGCATCACATAACTCGTGTAACTCAACACGCATCACAGAACTCACGTAACTCAACACGCATCACAGAACTCACGTAACTCAACACGCATCACAGAACTCACGTAACTCAACACGCATCACAGAACTCACGTAACTCAACACGCATCACATAACTCACGTAACTCAACACACATCACAGAACTCACGTAACTCAACACACATCACAGAACTCGCGTAACTCAACACACATCACAGAACTCACGTAACTCAACACACATCACAGAACTCACGTAACTCAACACACATTACAGAACTCACGTAACTCAACACGCATCACATAACTCACGTAACTCAACACGCATCACAGAACTCACGTAACTCAACACACATCACAGAACTCACGTAACTCAACACGCATCACATAACTCACGTAACTCAACACGCATCACAGAACTCACGTAACTCAACACACATCACAGAACTCACGTAACTCAACACACATTACAGAACTCACGTAACTCAACACGCATCACATAACTCGTGTAACTCAACACGCATCACAGAACTCACGTAACTCAACACGCATCACAGAACTCACGTAACTCAACACGCATCACAGAACTCACGTAACTCAACACGCATCACAGAACTCACGTAACTCAACACGCATCACATAACTCACGTAACTCAACACACATTACAGAACTCACGTAACTCAACACGCATCACAGAACTCACGTAACTCAACACGCATCACAGAACTCACGTAACTCAACACACATCACAGAACTCACGTAACTCAACACACATTACAGAACTCACGTAACTCAACACGCATCACATAACTCGTGTAACTCAACACGCATCACAGAACTCACGTAACTCAACACGCATCACAGAACTCACGTAACTCAACACGCATCACATAACTCGTGTAACTCAACACGCATCACAGAACTCACGTAACTCAACACGCATCACAGAACTCACGTAGCTCAACACGCATCACAGAACTCACGTAACTCAACACGCATCACATAACTCGTGTAACTCAACACGCATCACAGAACTCACGTAACTCAACACGCATCACAGAACTCACGTAACTCAACACTCATCACAGAACTCGCGTAACTCAACACGCATCACAGAACTCACGTAACTCAACACGCATCACAGAACTCACGTAACTCATCACAGAACTCACGTAACTCAACACACATCACAGAACTCACGTAACTCAACACGCATCACAGAACTCACGTAACTCAACACGCATCACAGAACTCACGTAACTCAACACGCATCACAGAACTCACGTAACTCAACACGCATCACAGAACTCACGTAGCTCAACACGCATCACAGAACTCACGTAACTCAACACGCATCACAGAACTCACGTAACTCAACACGCATCACATAACTCGTGTAACTCAACACGCATCACAGAACTCACGTAACTCAACACGCATCACAGAACTCACGTAGCTCAACACGCATCACAGAACTCACGTAACTCAACACGCATCACATAACTCGTGTAACTCAACACGCATCACAGAACTCACGTAACTCAACACGCATCACAGAACTCGCGTAACTCAACACTCATCACAGAACTCGCGTAACTCAACACGCATCACAGAACTCACGTAACTCAACACGCATCACAGAACTCACGTAACTCATCACAGAACTCACGTAACTCAACACACATCACAGAACTCACGTAACTCAACACGCATCACAGAACTCACGTAACTCAACACGCATCACAGAACTCACGTAACTCAACACGCATCACAGAACTCACGTAACTCAACACGCATCACAGAACTCACGTAGCTCAACACGCATCACAGAACTCACGTAACTCAACACGCATCACAGAACTCATGTAACTCAACACGCATCACAGAACTCACGTAACTCAACACGCATCACAGAACTCACGTAACTCAACACGCATCACAGAACTCACGTAGCTCAACACGCATCACAGAACTCACGTAACTCAACACGCATCACAGAACTCACGTAACTCAACACGCATCACAGAACTCACGTAGCTCAACACGCATCACAGAACTCACGTAACTCAACACGCATCACAGAACTCATGTAACTCAACACGCATCACAGAACTCACGTAACTCAACACGCATCACAGAACTCACGTAGCTCAACACGCATCACAGAATTCACGTAACTCAACACGCATCACAGAACTCACGTAACTCAACACGCATCACAGAACTCACGTAGCTCAACACGCATCACAGAACTCACGTAGCTCAACACGCATCACAGAACTCACGTAGCTCAACACGCATCACAGAACTCATGTAACTCAACACGCATCACAGAACTCACGTAGCTCAACACGCATCACAGAACTCATGTAACTCAACACGCATCACAGAACTCACGTAGCTCAACACGCATCACAGAACTCACGTAACTCAACACGCATCACAGAACTCACGTAGCTCAACACGCATCACAGAACTCACGTAACTCAACACGCATCAGAACTCACGTAGCTCAACACGCATCACAGAACTCATGTAACTCAACACGCATCACAGAATTCACGTAACTCAACACGCATCACAGAACTCACGTAGCTCAACACGCATCACAGAACTCACGTAGCTCAACACGCATCACAGAACTCACGTAACTCAACACGCATCACAGAACTCATGTAACTCAACACGCATCACAGAACTCACGTAACTCAACACGCATCACAGAACTCACGTAGCTCAACATGCATCACAGAACTCACGTAACTCAACACGCATCACAGAACTCACGTAGCTCAACACTCATCACAGAACTCGCGTAACTCAACAGGTATCACAGAACTCACGTAACTCAACAGGTATCACAGAACTCATGTAACTCAACAGGTATCACAGAACTCACGTAACTCATAACTCATCACAGAACTCACGTAACTCAACACGCATCACAGAACTCACGTAACTCAACACGCATCACAGAACTCACGTAACTCAACACGCATCACAGAACTCACGTAGCTCAACATGCATCACAGAACTCACGTAACTCAACACGCATCACAGAACTCACGTAGCTCAACACACATCACAGAACTCACGTAACTCAACACGCATCACAGAACTCACGTAGCTCAACAGGTATCACAGAACTCACGTAACTCAACAGGTATCACAGAACTCATGTAACTCATAACTCATCACAGAACTCACGTAACTCAACACGCATCACAGAACTCATGTAACTCAACACGCATCACAGAACTCACGTAACTCAACACGCATCACAGAACTCACGTAACTCAACACGCATCACAGAACTCACGTAGCTCAACACGCATCACAGAACTCACGTAACTCAACACGCATCACAGAACTCACGTAACTCAACACACACCACAGAACTCACGTAGCTCAACACGCATCACAGAACTCACGTAACTCAACACGCATCACAGAACTCACGTAACTCAACACACATCACAGAACTCACGTAACTCAACACACATCACAGAACTCACGTAACTCAACACACATCACAGAACTCACGTAACTCAACACATCAGAGATTTACAGCGTCTGACTGGCTAATGGGTTCCTCCTCTTTGCAGAGACAGCACAGTTTGTCCAGATAGACACATGATCAACAAATCCCTGGATCATCCAAAGCACCCGGACTCTGGCACTGTAATGGTCAGTTCAAAGCAGACCATCATAAGAAACATCTGGTTTCTGATGGAATCGTGTAATTCAGTCATTGAAACAAAGTTTATTGTAGAATGTGGAATGTCACGGAATTGGGCAAATCAGAAGTAGTGCTGTAGAACTCATCACATTCATACTGCGATATGCATTTAGTGTATGATTATTAAACCACAAAAAAACATCCAATATAGTCAGAAACTCAAAGGACAAAAGTTCAGTTTAACTTGAAGAAATTGACAATTATATTACTGTTGTAGAGTAAAGGCATAAGTCATTTATCATAATAATTATAAATACAATTTATTAAAGCATTCTTTTTAAGGAATATCACACAATCAAGAGATTTTTTGTCATCCATGTTTTAAATAATTTATTCAGTAAACTTTTCTTGTACAGCACTAATTGACACAGATAAAGGTAAAGGAAATCAAAAGTAAAAAAATAGAGGTAACACTTTCATTTGTTATCATTATGTTATCAGTTATGTATTAACTAACATGAACTAACATTAACAAAGATTAATAAATACTGTATTCCTCATTGTTAGTTAATAAAAATCCAGTTGTTCATTGTTCATGTTCACAGTGCATAACTAATGTTAACTAGTTTACTAATGTTCAACGTTTTTAGTTGAAATTAACATTTACAGCATAAATACAGTAGAATTGCAGAATAAATACAGTAGAATTGTAGTTCATTATTAGTTCATGTTAGTTTACAATAAGGTTTCATTGGTTTACATTGGTTAAGTGTTACCAGAATTGCTATATTTTCACTTAATTACATGTTACGATTAAATTGTTTTATTAGGTTGTATGAATTAATTTGAATTACTTCAGGTTTTAAAACATTTGAATTAAATCGTAAAAAACACATTGAATAGACACGAAAAGATTGAATTGAATTAAAACCATTTCATAGGGCTCAGTTATTGTTAAAATGAATATATTTAATAAAGTTTACAAAATCTCGCAGGAAACCCAATGTTTGTGATATCAACTTAAAATCTGGAACACAACTTGGTTAGACATGTGGCTTTGATTTTATGCCAATTTCAGAGTCCAAATAGTCAAAATTATCACAGGATTGTTTCAAACTCTGTCTCCGCTTGTCCATGTTTCAGATGGACTGTTATCCTGCTTTTGCTTTTGTTTGGAAATATTTCTGTTGGCAAAGCAAAAATAGAGCAGACAAATGGTCTAAAATAAAACATTTTGAATGTATTATTACTAGTGCTGTCAAACGATTAAAATATTTGATCGCGATTAATCGCAATTAATGTCATAGGTAACTCGCGATTAATCGTAATTAATCGCACATTTTTATCTATTCTAAATGTCTCTTGATTTCTTTTTGTCCCATTATTTTTTTCTCATTTTAATGCTCTTATCAACATGGAAAAGTGGATCGGCTTGCTTTGTGCAAATGTTTTTTATTGAAAACAACATTGGCATATACTGTGTTCAATTTCACACTAACATTCTCACTTGGAGCAAATAATCTCTCACACAATGTAACACTGTCCATCAATAAAATAGTGAAAGAAATACTGACGAAGCCCTGATATTGACGAGCGGGTGGAGAATCTGCATCAGCTGTGTGTGTGTGTGTGTGTGTGTGTGTGTGCTTGGCCATCATCAAGTGGTATTTCAGACTGGACGTGCTGCGATGATGATAGCTCAGTTCACAACGACAAAACACACAGATCACTTTGGTCTCGTCAATGGAACCATTTGGCAACTTTTTAAAAGTAAACTTTCAATTCAGAATCTTATTGGCATCCATTTCGGCGTCTCGCACTCGTCATCCACTCAAAACGTAACGTTAACCAACTATTTGGCCGGCTCGCAAGCCTAAACAATGTATGGCGTTGTGCCTGTTGTTTTGTTTCCGGTCTAGCTAGATCCGCTTGCGCTTTGGTCGACGAAGCAACAGAACGTCCTCGCGCGGCGCAAGCCATTGAAATGAATGGGTTTCATAGTGTAGCGCACCGCATGCCGCGTCCTGTCGCAAACGCATGTGAAAAAAACTACAAAGTTTGCTAGGCCAAAAAGACCGTTAATCGCGCGATAAAAAAATAGCCGCCGTTAAAATGGGTTTGCGTTAACGCCGTTAATAATGCGTTTAACTGACAGCCCTAATTATTACACTCAAAGTCCTGCTGTTACTTTGAGGATCAGCGTGTTTGCATTGAAGTGATGCGGTTCTGATGCACCTTGGGTGTGTTCAAACGTGCCCAATGCCTCAGATCACTGAAAGCCACGCTAACATCAGACAGAAGTGCGCTTGTATTACAATCTGTGCGTTTCCTCAGTCTCTGTTCTTCTGACTTTGTCATATTGCAAATTTTGAGCTCATGTCATATATTTTTTAGTAGGAGTAATTATGAATTCTGGACTTTTCAGTTCGATTTGAATGTTACAGTTTCATTTCTTCCGAATGTCGAAAGGTTTTGCCGCTGCTGATAAAGACGGCGAGCGTGTACTCGGGGCGTATCGTGAGCCGGAGGGAGGACCGCTACGAGGCTCTGGCGGCTGCCATGAGCGCGCACTACGCCGGAGAGAGACGCTGCGCTGTGGAGGTGCTGGAGGGAGAACTGTACGCCGTCCAGGAGGAGAACACCTACAGCCGGTGAACACACACCTCGCTCTGATAACATTTACTACATCACATACTGACACTAATACTGCAGTTAAACTGACCAAAAGTTACAAAAGATTCTGTTTCAAGGAAATGCTGCTCTTTTGAATTTTCTAAGAATCCTGAAAAATAAAATGCATCAAGGTTTCCTCAAAAAACCACAACTGGTTTCAACATTGATAATAATCAGAAATGTTTCATTATTGATAATAAACAGAAATGTTGCTGAAACTTCAGATTTGATCACAGGAATAAATTCTTCACACAGAAAACAGACGTTTTAAATTGTAATACTTTTTTACAAAACAATATTACTGTTTTTGCTGTATTTTTGATCAAATAAATGCAGCCTTGGTGAGCAGAAGAGACTTTCAAAAACATTACGTCTGACCGACCCTCTTAAAATCCCCTTGTAGTTAATAATTATATTATATTATATATAATAATTATATCCCTTAAAACTCATCTTTGATCACCAAAATGACATATTTAAACGTTTTTTTCCTTGAAAAAAAATGTCTTCATGCCTTAAAATATCTTGAATGTAACTCGACACCCTCGCCTCATTTAGTATGCGCGGTTCTATGAATATGCAAATGAGCCCTGCCTCCACTCACTCAGAGATCCACTGGTTGACGATCACACGTTGATCTGATTGGTTACAAGGTCGTTTGTGACGTCAGAAACACCAGCGATTTCAAACCGTGTTTTTGAGACTGTCTTTGCTTCACTGCAGTTTTAAGCAGAAAATACTCAGCAATGCTGTCGACTTATGAACTTACACATGGTGTGTCTTAAAGCGTATTAATAACACCACATACACACATAAACAACATTAAAAGCTGGATTTTCACCACAGAGGGACTTTAACTTTAACTTTTCAGTGTATGTAATTTATTAAATGACAGATGTTTATGTGAACTGATTGTTTGATTGCACACCGGTGTCAGTGTGCGTGTGATGGAGGTGCCGGATAAAGGAGAGCAGTTGTTCAGCAGCGTCACGGCCTGCTTCATCGACGAGGGCCGTACACAGGAAGTGAAGTCACACCAGCTGCTCCAGCTTCCTGCTCAGTTCCAGGAGCTGCCGGGCCAGGCTGTGGAGATCGTCCTGTGCCGAGCGCAGCCCGTCGACGGCGAGGTGGACTGGAACCCCAAGGTCTCAACAGCACAAACGCTCAATCTCTTCTCCATAGTGCTGGGCGGTGTGCCGGTTCATACCGAATACCGGTGTCTATTTTTGTTATTATATTCATTTTTAATATACCGCAATACTGGTGTATGTGGCTTTAACAACGTTGGGAATGCGGCGCGACACTGTTTGAGAGGGTGTGTTCACTGTTGCACTGCTGACGCACAGATGTGTGTGTGCATTACTGTGACGATGAGGATGGAGAGGTTCAAATATAATCGATAGCTGTCAAATTATATTACAGTGTTTCCCACACACTGGTTCACAATATCAACACTAGATTTTCCAAAAGGCTTTGACATCGTTGAATAAACATGTTTCAAAGTCAAAACGCAGCGCTGGTGTTTTTATATTAATGTATCTTTACAGGAAACTGACTGTCTTTAGAAAAGTTTCGATGTTCATCTTTCCTGATAAAGCAGTGTTTATGAGCGCTGCACGTCTTTGTAAACAGCCTTGCAAACCTGTATTAATACTAGTGTGGAGTTTTTCTACAATATTCCCTCATGACAGTAAAATATGCCATTCTAAGTCAATCTACTGCAGTATTTCCTCTCAATCAGTAGAAAATGTGGTTAGCACACACTACTGCTTGAAAACAAAAATACTGTCATATACCGTGAAACCGCTATCATTTTGAAAAATACCGTGATATAAATGTTTGGTCACACCGGCCAGCACTTCTTCAGCATATGCACATGTTCAGTGTGAACAGATCTGTGTGTGTGTGTGTGTTCAGGTGACCAGAGCCGTGAGCCTGAAGATCAGAGGGAAGCTTCATCAGGCCAGGGTCGTGATGAGCGTGGGGAACACTGTCTGGGTCGATCCGATGGTAGGTGTGGACGTCATGTTTGCTGGTCCGGTCTGAAAGTGTGTTCTAGCCAAAAAAATATGTCACCCGTAGTGTTTCTGAAGAGCGTTTTGAAGCCCAAAGTGGCCGTCATCATCTTGGCAGTGCGTCACTCACAGATAAACCTAAATGACGTTAACAGAGAGCAGACAAACAGCTACATCAGCGGCAATCCACCTGTCACTCAAGTGGCCACACCCTTAATTATGCAGAACTTTAAGGCTTAATATAATTTAAACGGACGAGTTATAAAATAATTCACTTCCTCACAGTCGTCATGAAGGGCAATATTAGCTATATAGACCAAAACCACTTTTTGCACCAATTTTTTTCTACTGTAAAGTTGGGCATTTTAACATGGGGGTCAATGGGATTGACTCACTTCTGCAGCCGGTCTAGTGGCCAGTCGATGAACTGCAGTTTAAGTCAGTTGTGTGTTGGTTTAGAGCAGCGTTTCTCAAAGTGTGGGGCGCGCCCCACTGGTGGGGAATGGAAACATGACAAGTGGGGCGCGACAAACGGGAGAAAATGTGGTAATTTTTGTGCCCATCTCTATTAATTCCTTTATTTATTGAGCATAAACTCAAAACAAAACAACGACACATTTAAATGGAAGCCTTACTTAACCTTTTCACACGTAAGTTTAAAAGTTTTTAGAGGCGCCCGTTATTTAGATCATATCCCTTTATGGTTTCCATGGTGACGCGTCATTGCTTGTCACACCGCAGCCACAATAGCGCTGAATGACTGATTATCTGCTTTTATTTCACAAATGTGTTGGCTATAGCAGGAAATATCTGATATTCCGATTGTCAAATATGAGCAAGTGGATGTGTTTTGTTGTTTAAACACCTTAGTTGAGCTATACGCGATGGGCGTTAGTTTATGCCGGATTTTAGAGGATCGGACCTGTTGGATTTAACAAACGTCAATTTATCCACTTCTCCCGAAATGAAAGTAACGTTAAGTGGCTGGTGAACTGAGAGAAGCATAGAGTAAACTTGAAATTTACTTACACGATGTGTATTTGATATGAATAATACGTGTCGTCTAATTATAATGGAAATAATTAATATTCCCGCTTCCATAGATATAAGTGTGTATTTGACAAACTCTAAATGTATTGCTTTTTAATAACTTATTTATGTGAATGTAAATGTCTGAAACCTAAAATAAACATTATGTGGTTGAAAACACTGAATAGTTGTGATGTCAAGCGGTGAGCGGCGATTTTCTGGTTCAGAAAATATGTGTAGCCTACTAAAAAACCGGCTCATTGCAGACATTAAATCACTTAATTTTGAACTTTCAAAGTGCACCATATTTATGAATTTATCTTTAAAACGTACAAACTTTTCTTCCGGGGAGCATGCCCCCGGACCCGGGTGCAGAGGTCCACACCACACACAAAATACTGTGGGAAACACAGTAGCTTATTATGATAGTCTTCGAAAAATACAAAATACAATTATTATTATAAAATTTCCTAAAATACGTACATTATTAGGATTTTACCACCTCCGCCTCGTTTTGAGCCAGGAAAAACCCTGAGATTTTTATTATTCTTTTTCAATTTTGTTTGTTCTTTTTGGATGCAGTTTGCGAAGTGACAAAATAAAGCAAAGCACATTTAGTCCACACTTTTATTTTCTCCGTTTCTGAATTTGATGTTATCAGAGGCAAAATACAAACACAATTGCATTATTATTTTTATCTACTGTCATGTTTATGTTTTTAAAATGTCATGTTAATAAAATACATTTTAACTTAAAGCTTAGTTTATTAACATTTTGTTGGGGCGATTGCATGAGGACAGGTGGGGCACGAACCCTTCCTTACCTTCAAAGTGGGGAATGGCAGAAAAAGTTTGAGAAACACTGGTTTAGAGGGAGAGGTTTCCGCTTGGTTCTAGCGCTGGTTCTCTTCACACAGGTGCGCATGACGCGAGTGCCGGGTCTGAAGACCTACATCAACGAGTATAACGTCCACGCTGAGATCCTGGCCTCTGGGTTCGGCGTCAATAACCCTCAGCACCTGGACCTGCTGAAGAGGGTTTTCCAGGGAGAGCAGAACCTCGGCACGCTGGACCAGCACCTGACAGACGACAGGTGTGCAGTCTTTCCCTATAGGAAACCCACGCATATATAAAATACACATTCAATCCAAGAGAACGATATTTAAATCCCTTCAGCAGGCTCCTCCCCCTAGTGGCCATCTCATGTTTCACATTAACAATTTACTGCTGTTTTATAATCAAATCTTTTTCTAATCTTGACGAAACGCGTATCATTGGAAAGCTCTGAGACTCAAGCTCCATATTTGGCCGCTGTTTTGCGATAGAAGTGATATTACAACAGAAATATGACAGAAGAACGTGTCAAATGGGGTGTGCGTGTCACCCGGTGGCTATTTTGAGTACAGCGCCTAAACAAAATCTCACAGGAAACTCTATTTTTGTGATATTAACTTAATCTGGAACTCAACTTGATTAGACATGTGGCTTTGATTTTTAATCGCAATTTTTTAGAGTAGTAAAATATATATATATAGTATAAAATTAGTTCAGAACATTTCTTTATAGTCAACAAACTGTTTACAGTTTAATTTTTTTCCACCAATAATCTGCAGTGTTTTCTTAAAACAGATCCTAACTATAGGTCTGTATCCCAAAGCATTCATGAACAACAACTAATGAAGTTCAATCTTGGCTCGAAAAGGGGGTGGCAGTTAACAGGTTAATTAGTTTCATAGTAAAATTTCAATATGTGTGCTTTAATTTATTCACTTGCAAGAGTTCTTGCAGCTTTATTATAATGGAAAACTGCAGTTTCTGTAAAAACAGGTTTACAAACACATCTCATTACAAAACTAGTGAAATGCTGTGATCATCATGGGTCCCAGAAATGATGCGTCTGTGAAAGTAAAGCGTTCTGAAATGCGTGTTAAACTGACGGCGTGTGCAGAGACGACCGATCTGATGATGAGCTGCTCGTGTGAACCGTTAAATCACAAGCCTTAAAGCGGTTTCATCAGATGCCTGACAAAAAACTCACTCAAAAAAACAATGTTAGAGACCTTTATGTTATCATGAGAAGTGTAAAAATTGTTCCGGTTCATTATGAAACTGCCGGGCCACCAGATTCGACTGGGTTTATCACTGATGTCAAGATATTCAGTCAATAAAAAGGAATTAAAAAATATATATTTTAAGGGTGCTTTCACACTTCTCTTATTTACATCGCGTCTAGACTCTGTTGTTTATGAGGGGGTTTGCGAAAGGATAAAGCTTGTGCTGATTCTGAACATACTGAGCGAATTCTGCTGGATTTTCCTACTCTGACCAATTCTGACCAATCGAAGTGCAGTTATGGAAATACGTTCAAGACACATCTGGCCAGCGAGCGATGTGGATGTTGTCACGTGACTGCATTTTGGGTCGTTTCATCAACTGATTTGGACCAGAGCAATCAGTGTGGTGTGAAAAGAGACCAAAACGCCTGAAAATGCTACAAAGTATAATTTTTCGCTTTTGGTCCGGACCAAATGAACCGAACTACAGATGTGAAAGCACCCTAAGAAAATCATATTTTTAGGATCATTAAGGCTGCTTTACGTTGTGATTGACAGATAAAATAAAGTGCATTATATCAATTACTACCATTATGTGTACATTTACTAGGGGTGCACGATTCAGAAAATGTCACGATTTGATACCGATTTTTTTGTCTCAAGATTCGATTCAAAAAACGATTCGCAGTATATAAATGTATTTACTTTTTCCTATGTGTTTGATTGCAGTAGACACAATTTAAAAGAAAAAAACCCATAACAAATTAAATGTAGTTTGATATTACTTTATATGTTTTCATACAAAAATAAAAACTTTTGCAACTAAAAAGTGCAAAGTGCCAAGCTTTGGCCAGCTTTCAAATACATTTAATTCAAGTTTAAAATAAAACTTAAATAGAAGCTTTTACATTTAGCTTTAAAGTGCTGTAGTCAGATCAAACAATTATGCTAAATGTGGTTTAAGGACTACTTCAGCTACCAGGCTGACTGTTGAAATGTGAACTTGACTGGGCACATTGAACTTCCTAAAAATATATAATGTCATAGAACCCTTGCGAAATAATTTTTAAATAGATTTTAAAAAGCCACCGCTACTGGTAACATCTATGGTTAGATTGATTTGTTTAGATCCAATGAAGTCGTTCATAGGCGTAATTTGCGGGTATCTCCAGTTAACTAGCAGAGCCTTCATTTAGTTCGCTATTAAATAAGAGATCTGTTGATTTTGAAATCAAGCTGCGCGCTCGTGTCCGCTGCTATCAGTGTCATGGATACAGTGTTCTCTGTGGCTCGCGCAGTCTTCACTCGGACGCGCGCTTCAATCTATCGCCGTTGTGGAGACTCCGGTGAAATCACAAAATAAAATGCACACAAACGTGATGAACATATTGGGTTTTGATGAGAGAGAGAAAAAACTATACGAGTGCGGTTTAGAACCCGTAACCTCTGACACGCTTGGCAAAAGATCTACAGAACTCAAACATAAGATCTGCGGATCGATGCATTTATTTACGGGTTGAGCAGAGAGGCTGCAGTTTGACCAGCGGCCGGCAAGAACTTGCAATGTAACTATTTATCAGACCGGCCCTCGCAGCCTCGAAACACTACCGGACCACCGGGAAAAGTCCCGACTCACCCGATTGCCACTCCGCCCGTGCACGCCATTAAAAAAAATATATATGAATCGATTTTTGGAATTCTATTAATCGATTCTGAATCGGTAAAGATTAAATCGCGATTCAAATGTGAATCGATTTTTTTGCACACCCCTAACATTTACTATGCTCCAAAAATGTGGAATTGTCTCCCAGATGGAGTAAAAGAGGCTACTAGCATTCATATGTTTAAAAAGCGGGTTAAGACATAAGTTTTAAAGTTGCTTATCAATATAACTATATGGTGTTGTAATATAACAAAGCTGTGTGTAAGTCAGTTTTATGTTCCATTTTACCTTCTAATTTTTTCTCTTTGTTTTATTTATTTTATTTTATATTGATATTGTGGTCAAACTATATTGCCAATTTACTTTATTTTACACGCTGAACCTTTATAGTTGTTTTCGAATGTTTTTATATTTACATTGTGTGATTGTATTATTGTATTTTATGCTTGTGAAGCACTTTGAGTTGCATTCTATGTATGAAAAGTGCTATACAAATAAATGATTATTATTATTGTTATACTTTCGTTTTCTTATAAACACACACATACCTATTGTCGTTATCTGTAATGCGTGTTGTGTTGTCAGGAGTGAGAGCCCTGCGCTGAGCGTTTCTGAGGAGATGCTGACCAGCCGGATGAAGGATGTGGTCAGTACCCATAATGCCCTGCGCTTCATCCACAGCAGCAGCGCAGATCAGGAGCCGGCAGAGGAGACCAGGCTAGTCTCTACATGCACTTCTTTTCATAGCTTCTTTACTTTATAGAAAACAATTAAAGTCCCCCTGTATTCAATAATTTTATCCTTTAAAACTATTTTATCCATGTGGTTTGTGCCGTTCACACATGGAAAAAAACGATCTGAGTCACATGTGAGCAAAAAAGTCTGATTTAGGCCACTTTTGCCTTGGTTTTATGTTTTTCACTACATATACCAAAATATAACTTGATTAATGTTATAAGTGAAACACAAGGAACATATTCAAATAAAAAAAATCCATGTCATGTTCTTATAAGTCTCAAGACATGGAGAAAAGCCATTTTAGCCAACTTAAATTCAAGACTGAATCACGAGTCTTTTTGATGCGGATTCATAAAAAAAAAAAAGTTTGTTTGTATATCAGACATATCAAAAAATTTTATTGTTCCAGTATTTTTTTTTTTCATTTAACCGGTTATGAATAAGGATTGACTCCCAGTTTTCGTTTGGAAATGACTCACGTTCTCATTCTTATTTTTTGTTTGTTTTTCTGTTTTAGCCCGGATGTGAACGGATTCTCATCTCCAGACCAGACCAGCTGTGAAACAGGCATGTTCATGTTCATGCGGATATAAGCACTAGTCCGTTCATTAGCACTTGTAGTGACACTTGGTTTTGATTATGCAGACAAAGATGAAGCCCTGAGCGTCAACAGATTACAGGCTGCTAATAAACCGCAGTTACTCCATAATCCAGCACTTTTATCATTCCAGCCTCCCAGGTGTGTGTGTGTGTGTGTGTGTGTGTGATATCGATCAGCCATAGCGTCTGATGATTTCTCATGTCTGTCAATAACGGCCAGCATTTCCTGCAGTTTCCACCCGCAGATCAAGTGGTTTCAGAGGGGCGAGTTTGTGACCATCTGTGTGAAGCTCATCAATCCAGTGATGCAGAAGTGTGAATTCAGCTCTGACACCGTCATCTACAGGTCACATGATCATACTGTCATCTTATCCGTATGGATACTTGACATGATGTCACTTTACTGTCTGTAATTAAGCAGAAGAAGCAGAGAACATGTGCATTGTATGGTGTTTAATGGGGATCTTTTGATGCATGTGATCTCAGTGGGTACGTGAATGACCGGCATTACCACGCAAAGCTGGAGCTGTCCGGTGACATCATCGCAGAGAGGTGCTCATGGGAAATCAGGTGCAATGAGCCCGTGATGAAGCTGATGAAAAAGGAAAAGCAGGACTGGACGACGCTCCTCAAACACAAGGCATGTATATCTTCTTCAGATGTGGCCAGAGATGCATGAATTGTGCTGTATTGTGTAGAATCACACTGATTTGAAATCTTTCTCAACAGAGTGCCTTCGTCAGCTATGAGTTTGACCACATCGATGAGACTCGTTCTTCTCCAGTGAACGGTGAGGAATAAATATGTGTCTGTGAGTCTGAGTGTCGGGTGTTTCAGTGTTTCAGTGAGTGTGACGGGTGTTTGTGGTCCTCAGTGTTTCAGTGAGTGTGACGGGTGTGTGTGGTCCCTCAGTGTTTCAGTGAGTGTGAGGGGTGTTTGTGGTCCCTCAGTGTTTCAGTGAGTGTGACGGGTGTGTGTGGTCCCTCAGTGTTTCAGTGAGTGTGACGGGTGTTTGTGGTCCTCAGTGTTTCAGTGAGTGTGACGGGTGTTTGTGGTCCTCAGTGTTGCAGTGAGTGTGACGGGTGTTTGTGGTCCTCAGTGTTGCAGTGAGTGTGACGGGTGTTTGTGGTCCTCAGTGTTTCAGTGAGTGTGACGGGTGTTTGTGGTCCCTCAGTGTTTCAGTGAGTGTGACGGGTGTGTGTGGTCCCTCGGTGTTTCAGTGAGTGTGACGGGTGTTTGTGGTCCCTCAGTGTTGCAGTGAGTGTGACGGGTGTTTGTGGTCCCTCAGTGTTTCAGTGAGTGTGACGGGTGTTTGTGGTCCCTCAGTGTTTCAGTGAGTGTGATGGGTGTTTGTGGTCCTCAGTGTTTCAGTGAGTGTGACGTGTGTTTGTGGTCCTCAGTGTTTCAGTGAGTGTGACGGGTGTGTGTGGTCCCTCGGTGTTTCAGTGAGTGTGACGGGTGTTTGTGGTCCCTCAGTGTTGCAGTGAGTGTGACGGGTGTTTGTGGTCCCTCAGTGTTTCAGTGAGTGTGACGGGTGTTTGTGGTCCCTCAGTGTTTCAGTGAGTGTGACGGGTGTTTGTGGTCCCTCAGTGTTTCAGTGAGTGTGACGGGTGTTTGTGATCCCTCAGTGTTTCAGTGAGTGTGACGGGTGTTTGTGGTCCCTCAGTGTTTCAGTGAGTGTGACGGGTGTTTGTGGTCCCTCAGTGTTTCAGTGAGTGTGACGGGTGTTTGTGGTCCTCAGTGTTTCAGTGAGTGTGACGGGTGTTTGTGGTCCCTCAGTGTTTCAGTGAGTGTGACGGGTGTTTGTGGTCCCTCAGTGTTGCAGTGAGTGTGACGGGTGTTTGTGGTCCCTCAGTGTTTCAGTGAGTGTGACGGGTGTGTGTGGTCCTCAGTGTTTCAGTGAGTGTGACGGGTGTTTGTGGTCCCTCAGTGTTTCAGTGAGTGTGACGGGTGTTTGTGATCCCTCAGTGTTTCAGTGAGTGTGACGGGTGTTTGTGGTCTCTCAGTGTTGCAGTGAGTGTGACGGGTGTTTGTGATCCCTCAGTGTTTCAGTGAGTGTGACGGGTGTTTGTGATCCCTCAGTGTTTCAGTGAGTGTGACGGGTGTTTGTGGTCTCTCAGTGTTGCAGTGAGTGTGACGGGTGTTTGTGGTCCCTCAGTGTTTCAGTGAGTGTGACGGGTGTTTGTGATCCCTCAGTGTTTCAGTGAGTGTGACGGGTGTTTGTGGTCCTCAGTGTTGCAGTGAGTGTGACGGGTGTTTGTGGTCCCTCAGTGTTTCAGTGAGTGTGACGGGTGTGTGTGGTCCTCAGTGTTTCAGTGAGTGTGACGGGTGTTTGTGGTCCCTCAGTGTTTCAGTGAGTGTGACGGGTGTTTGTGGTCCTCAGTGTTTCAGTGAGTGTGACGGGTGTTTGTGGTCCCTCAGTGTTTCAGTGAGTGTGACGGGTGTTTGTGGTCCCTCAGTGTTTCAGTGAGTGTGACGGGTGTTTGTGATCCCTCAGTGTTTCAGTGAGTGTGACGGGTGTTTGTGGTCCTCAGTCTTTCAGTGAGTGTGACGGGTGTTTGTGGTCCCTCAGTGTTTCAGTGAGTGTGACGGGTGTTTGTGGTCCCTCAGTGTTTCAGTGAGTGTGACGGGTGTTTGTGGTCCCTCAGTGTTTCAGTGAGTGTGACGGGTGTTTGTGGTCCCTCAGTGTTTCAGTGAGTGTGACGGGTGTTTGTGGTCCTCAGTGTTTCAGTGAGTGTGACGGGTGTTTGTGGTCCTCAGTGTTTCAGTGAGTGTGATGGGTGTTTGTGGTCCCTCAGTGTTTCAGTGAGTGTGACGGGTGTTTGTGGTCCCTCAGTGTTTCAGTGAGTGTGACGGGTGTGTGTGGTCCTCAGTGTTTCAGTGAGTGTGACGGGTGTTTGTGGTCCCTCAGTGTTTCAGTGAGTGTGACGGGTGTGTGTGGTCCTCAGTGTTTCAGTGAGTGTGACGGGTGTTTGTGGTCCCTCAGTGTTTCAGTGAGTGTGACGGGTGTTTGTGGTCCTCAGTGTTTCAGTGAGTGTGACGGGTGTTTGTGGCCCCTCAGTGTTTCAGTGAGTGTGACGGGTGTTTGTGGTCCCTCAGTGTTTCAGTGAGTGTGACGGGTTTTTGTGGTCCCTCAGTGTTTCAGTGAGTGTGACGGGTGTTTGTGGTCCCTCAGTGTTGCAGTGAGTGTGACGGGTGTTTGTGGTCCCTCAGTGTTTCAGTGAGTGTGACAAGTGTTTGTGATCCCTCAGTGTTTCAGTGAGTGTGACGGGTGTTTGTGGTCCCTCAGTGTTTCAGTGAGTGTGACGGGTGTTTGTGGTCCCTCAGTGTTTCAGTGAGTGTAACGGGTGTTTGTGGTCCCTCAGTGTTTCAGTGAGTGTGACGGGTGTTTGTGGTCCCTCAATGTTTCAGTGAGTGTGACGGGTGTTTGTGATCCCTCAGTGTTTCAGTGAGTGTGACGGGTGTTTGTGGTCCCTCAGTGTTTCAGTGAGTGTGACGGGTGTTTGTGGTCCCTCAGTGTTTCAGTGAGTGTGACGGGTTTTTGTGGTCCCTCAGTGTTTCAGTGAGTGTGACGGGTGTTTGTGGTCCCTCAGTGTTGCAGTGAGTGTGACGGGTGTTTGTGGTCCCTCAGTGTTTCAGTGAGTGTGACGAGTGTTTGTGATCCCTCAGTGTTTCAGTGAGTGTGACGGGTGTTTGTGGTCCCTCAGTGTTTCAGTGAGTGTGACGGGTGTTTGTGATCCCTCAGTGTTTCAGTGAGTGTGACGGGTGTTTGTGATCCCTCAGTGTTTCAGTGAGTGTGACGGGTGTTTGTGGTCCCTCAGTGTTTCAGTGAGTGTGACGGGTGTTTGTGGTCCCTCAATGTTTCAGTGAGTGTGACGGGTGTTTGTGATCCCTCAGTGTTTCAGTGAGTGTGACGGGTGTTTGTGATCCCTCAGTGTTTCAGCGAGTGTGACGGGTGTTTGTGGTCCCTCAGTGTTTCAGTGAGTGTGACGGGTGTTTGTGGTCCTCAGTGTTTCAGTGAGTGTGACGAGTGTTTGTGGTCCCTCAGTGTTTCAGTGAGTGTGACGGGTGTTTGTGGTCCCTCAGTGTTTCAGTGAGTGTGACGAGTGTTTGTGATCCCTCAGTGTTTCAGTGAGTGTGACGGGTGTTTGTGGTCCCTCAGTGTTTCAGTGAGTGTGACGAGTGTTTGTGATCCCTCAGTGTTTCAGTGAGTGTGACGGGTGTTTGTGGTCCCTCAGTGTTTCAGTGAGTGTGACGGGTGTTTGTGGTCCCTCAGTGTTTCAGTGAGTGTGACGGGTGTTTGTGGTCCCTCAGTGTTTCAGTGAGTGTGACGGGTGTTTGTGATCCCTCAGTGTTTCAGTGAGTGTGACGGGTGTTTGTGATCCCTCAGTGTTTCAGTGAGTGTGACGAGTGTTTGTGATCCCTCAGTGTTTCAGTGAGTGTGACGGGTGTTTGTGGTCCCTCAGTGTTTCAGTGAGTGTGACGGGTGTTTGTGGTCCCTCAGTGTTTCAGTGAGTGTAACGGGTGTTTGTGGTCCCTCAGTGTTTCAGTGAGTGTGACGGGTGTTTGTAATCCCTCAGTGTTTCAGTGAGTGTGACGGGTGTTTGTGGTCCTCAGTGTTTCAGTGAGTGTGACGAGTGTTTGTGGTCTCTCAGTGTTGCAGTGAGTGTGACGGGTGTTTGTGGTCCTCAGTGTTTCAGTGAGTGTGACGGGTGTTTGTGGTCTCTCAGTGTTTCAGTGAGTGTGACGGGTGTTTGTGGTCTCTCAGTGTTTCAGTGAGTGTGACGGGTGTTTCTGGTCCCTCAGTGTTTCAGTGAGTGTGACGAGTGTTTGTGGTCCCTCAGTGTTTCAGTGAGTGTGACGGGTGTTTGTGGTCCCTCAGTGTTTCAGTGAGTGTGACGGGTGTTTGTGGTCCCTCAGTGTTTCAGTGAGTGTGACGGGTGTTTGTAATCCCTCAGTGTTTCAGTGAGTGTGACGGGTGTTTGTGGTCCCTCAGTGTTTCAGTGAGTGTGACGGGTGTGTGTGGTCCTCAGTGTTTCAGTGAGTGTGACGGGTGTTTGTGGTCTCTCAGTGTTTCAGTGAGTGTGACGGGTGTTTGTGGTCTCTCAGTGTTTCAGTGAGTGTGACGGGTGTTTGTGGTCCCTCAGTGTTTCAGTGAGTGTGACGAGTGTTTGTGGTCCCTCAGTGTTTCAGTGAGTGTGACGGGTGTTTGTGGTCCCTCAGTGTTTCAGTGAGTGTGACGGGTGTTTGTGGTCCCTCAGTGTTTCAGTGAGTGTGACGGGTGTTTGTGGTCCCTCAGTGTTTCAGTGAGTGTGACGGGTGTTTGTGGTCCCTCAGTGTTGCAGTGAGTGTGACGGGTGTTTGTGGTCCTCAGTGTTTCAGTGAGTGTGACGGGTGTTTGTGGTCTCTCAGTGTTTCAGTGAGTGTGACGGGTGTTTGTGGTCCCTCAGTGTTGCAGTGAGTGTGACGGGTGTTTGTGGTCTCTCAGTGTTGCAGTGAGTGTGACGGGTGTTTGTGGTCCTCAGTGTTTCAGTGAGTGTGACGGGTGTTTGTGGTCTCTCAGTGTTTCAGTGAGTGTGACGGGTGTTTGTGGTCCCTCAGTGTTTCAGTGAGTGTGACGAGTGTTTGTGGTCCTCAGTGTTTCAGTGAGTGTGACGGGTGTTTGTGGTCCCTCAGTGTTTCAGTGAGTGTGACGGGTGTTTGTGGTCCTCAGTGTTTCAGTGAGTGTGACGGGTGTTTGTGGTCCTCAGTGTTTCAGTGAGTGTGACGGGTGTTTGTGGTCCTCAGTGT